AGGGACAGTAATGACTTTGCTATCCTGGGAAAAAAATGGCGAACCATGTAATCTTTCCCATTTCAGGGCTAATAAATGACCCAATATCATATCAAAACCCACACGTCCTGGAAAACCTGGATATTTAGAGGCTAGTTTTCCTGTCATGGAAACACCTGGAAATTAATGACCAAATATCCTGGAAATAATCTGTGTGAGTTCTTAAAAAGAGCGGGAACCCTGTATGCAGTCTTTTTTTGTTAGTTTGAATCTAATCTTAAAATTTGTCAAATTCTTGTAAACTTGGCTCCAGACCAGCCCGTCCTGTCTCTACCAGCAGGCATTGAATCAGCTGAGGGAGGAGGACAGAGGACCTTGGCAGACCGCTCTAAACTTTACGCCAATGGACTGGATTCTTCTTGTCTTTGTTTTCCACCTTGTCTTGGTTGTCAGTCAGAAGCAACTCCCACCTACATTTGAAGTGAATTGTTGTGCTACGGCAACCAGAGTGTGTCCATACAATTACACTAACTCTCTTTTATGTGACATGGCATTTTTTTCTGTAAAGGAAGAGGAAAGCCAGTCAGTCTGTGATATGTCCGTATCCATGAATCACAGGCCCAGGAAATGAGGCTGTGGTGACAGGAGGGCGAGGTGCAGTGTCCTCAGTGTGAGTTTAAGATACGTCTTCCACAGGCTCCTATAGCAGGGAATGGCCTAATACATCTTACTTTACATACAAGACCTGTCTGCAGGGGTTTTTCTTTTTAATCTTTATTATTCACACACAGCAAACCTGCTAGACTCCAGCTTCCTTAAAGGGGAAGGCTCGGTCGGTAACTGGTGTAGTAGGCTGGGGGCGGAGGAAGGATCAGATCCTTTACTTACTTCACCACCTTGCTCCACTAGTACAGTGGGAGTACAACTGAAGCTAACACATCCACCACATTAAGAAGCAGGTAAAGTCAGCAGTGAGGATTGGAGCGACTTTAACAAGAACCACATTGTGATGGACGACTGGATCAGAACATCTCCAAACCTGCAGCTCTTGTGGGGTGTTCCCGGTCTGCGATCCAATAGACGAGCTACTGTAGCTCAAACTGCTGAAACAGTTAATGCTGGTTCTGATAGAAAGGGGTCAGAACACACTGGGGGAGCCCAGTGATACGATACGAACTATATATAAAAATGGTTTCACTCAAGGAAATCATAAGCTTATTTTTAGCGTCATTCTCCTTCTCATGCATCTTTTGTCTGTTTTCTCATAATAATACAATCAGAAATGTATTAAATGAAACTTATCTGCTTTAGGGCTTCAACTAACGATCATTAATTGTTTAGTCTATAAAATACCTCTAAATACTTGTTTCGATTCCCTAAAGCCTAAAATGACTTGTTCATTTTGCTTGTTTTATACGAGTCAGGGAAATTTTGACACTTTTGCTTGTAAAAAGGTTAATTGATTCATTGATAAAAGTCTGAACTTTTGTTGATTATTATTCTGTTGAATTGTTTCAGCTCTAGTTTGCGTCATGTTTGACTGCAAAGGGCACTGATTACAGCAGTGGTTCCCAACCTGGAGGTCGCCAAAGTAACATGTGCGGTCGTGAGGCTTTCTTGAAAGCCACAACAAAGAGCTAATAGAACAATAGTGTCAGGGAGAAGAAAACACTGAATTTGGAAAACAAAAAACAAAAAAAAAAGAAGCTTATTAACTATATATGATTGTTAAAAAATGACTTATAGTTTGGTACAGCATAATGGGGGAAACCACCAGCTGCTCACTGTGTAGTATCTAGGTTATAGAGGCAGAGTTGCTCTTGTAGACATTTTGTTATTGTAGGGAACCCGCCTTCATTTTTCGTTTCTTTTCTAAAACCCCAGCTTGGTATCAAACAATGAAAACATCTAAAAGAGTCCTCTGGAAGTGTCAATAAAGTGCTTACAGTTTAAGAGCGCTCCATCTCAGAGGAGTAATATTGCGAGCAGCGGCAATTTACCCAGCAGCACGTCCTGCCTTCAGAACCGCTTACATCCACGAGGAGAGCTCTTTATTTCTGGCTCCCTTTTCTCAGACACACCTGGAGGAGTTGTTACGGTGTAGGAGTAGAGCGATTGGACAAGATGAAGAGCCCAGACGATGAAATTGCAGATCCTGTATCCCAAGTGGTGTCATTCAAATGTCACTCTCCTGCTGCGTTCGACTGCAGGCATATTTCACGTAATAACCTTTCGGAGAAGAGAACAGTTTAGTGTCTGGTTTGGCCTCGTTTAGCCTCGCGCCCGCCTCATCTCACCGTGTCATCCTTTTGTCTACAGGAAGAACTTTTATTACCTTCTTGTATACTGCATCCAGCGAGCCTCATTCGTTTCAACCTCAAACAGAGCGCTCAAGTAGACCTTTTATCACTCTATTATTTTCCAGACAATGCTAGCCCTTCAGGTTACGGTTACAGCATGCGTCTGTAAACATGAAGAATGGAATTATAAAGTCTTAAAATATAGAGCTTTGTCAGTGTTTTTTGCGGACATTCTGTATGTTAACCCCTTAGTGAAGAGAGGATAGTTGTCAGTTTCTCCTACAGCTCTCTCCGTTTGTTACAGAGCTGGAAAACATGGCTATATGCTGACATCCATTAGTCTTCCTCAGTCACATCTTCCTTTCTGAGAAATAACAAATACATTTTTTTAAAGGTCAAGCAACAACAAGTAACATGTTCAGAAAAATGTAAGAAAAAACAGGAAAATGCAGCAATAACCACAGAAGAAAGAAAAACCTCCCACCCACTCTAAGACTGACTAAAAGCTTCCTCACCAGATGTGGATCTTATAAATACAGTTAGAAAACCTTGACTGGATGAACTGAGAAATCTTTTTTCAGTCCATTCCTCTTGTATAAGAGTCCCTCTGAGTCACCCTGTAGGGCTGGGTATCGCTGAAAATGTTTAGATACCGATATCTTGACTTTGATACCAATTACTGAATAAAACCTTTTTTATACCAGTTTTATAAAAAGTATTTTAACACATTAATACATTATGGTACAATTAACCTGTTGAAAGACCTGGGAGCTGCTGGAGCAACTGATTTTAGTCTTTACTCAACCTGGATAACTAACTATAAATTGAGGAAATAAAACTAAATATCTGTACAATATTGGACTACATACAAAAATGAAATAACTCTTAAAGGACTCCCGACCCTTCACTGAGAGAAAAAACACATTTGATATTGTTTTGTACAAGCAAATTCTATTGTTTTTTATATCATATTTTGATGAATTAATGTTAACACTAATGCTCTTTAAGTGCTTTATATATTTATTTTTGCTATCAAGTAAACGTGGTCTAATCAGGCTTGAGCGTCAAAGAGGTCAGAGCGGAGAAAAGGAAGGCATCGTCAATCTGCAGCCTGAGGAAAACTGAATAACAATCTGCTGCCTCCGATTCTTTCAAATTATGAATTAATCTCTTGATAGGATAATCACAGACAATTTCACATGTTGACCTCGTATCAATCAGCAGCAGAGGCAATTCCAAACAAATTGAATTTTTATGGTCTTTTTTTTCTTTTCACTTCTCTTTCAGTCCCCAAACACGCCTATCTGATCAGCATCTCTTTAGCTCCCTCTTTAGCACTTCAGATTGGAGCAAGGCTACTAGTTGAATTCCCCAGACCGAAATGAAAAGCGAAACGGTCATGATGCCAAACAATTTATCCCGATCAGCTACCGTAGAGCTGCCTACTGGCACAACAACAGAGGACGGAGCGAATGTGTGTGGCTGCTCGCGGCTGAAAATATGAAAAAAGGAGTGAATGTAAATTAGGCTGTTGCTGAATGTGAGCATGCATGCTAAGCAAACTCCCTCCAGGATGAGAAAAATTAAAACCTGACCTAGGTTTATAGTGGCTTAATCTAGTGTCAAAAGTAAATCGAATATGAAACATACTTTAATGTCATCATGTATAGACTGAAGGCTTTGATTATTATATGGTTTTCTTGGAAAGATCGTGATCTAAATGTCCAGATTGTACTTTTCAGGTGAATTTTAGAGAGTGTTTTTGTGTGGGGGAGTTTGTTTGTGGCTGACAGAAAAATAGCTGCAGATATGGCAAAAGTTCTGCAGGTGGGATTTCTAGTCAAGTCTCACACATTTCCACTGATTTGACTGTTACAACAAACAAACAGTCAGTGATTGCCAAAGTGAATTTCAGCTACCTGAAGGAACAGGTTTCCACATTAAAATGCTCTGGATGAGAGAACAAAACAGTTTTTACTAAAAGCTATAATCTGTAACATTTCAGCATTAAACTGTGTATAAACATCAGAGCTATGTTCTATATGTATGTTGTTGAGTTGTGTTCTTGGGATGGAGAGAAGATGAAGCCCAGGGAATAAACAAGTAAAAGCTGAACAACATGGTACAGGCAGAAAACAACAAGAACTCAAATTAAATATCTAATCAATAAGCGGTGTATAAACTCTAGCTCTATGTTCTTGTGTAGTTGAGTTGTGTACTTAGATTGTTCCAGGTGTTTCCAACAATGTTCAAACTCAGAGAAATCTGTCATTTTATTCAGGTAACGCTGCGTTTCACCGGTCGCCTGTCGATGGCGTCATATCCCCTTTGTGCCTGCGTCAGCGTTGTGGTTGTCTGCCAGAAGCTGTCATACATTGACTGTTGATCCAGTCTGAAGCCACATTGTTACCATCCACTGTTTAGATCTTGGTGCTTTTTAACTCTAGATTTGAACCGGATGAAGGATTTTAGTCATCGGACGTCTGGATCTTAAGTTATCAGAGAAACAAGCCAAGCTAATGTTAGCGGCAGCTCGGCTCGCAGCCGTAAACTGATTGTGTTCACCCTGTCGTCTTTCATACACACACTGTTACGTCATTCACAGCCAAGTTTGTGACTGGTAGAATCAGAATCAGTTGATTTACAGATTTTGTTTGTGTTTAGTAAAAATAATGTTTTAAGGACTTCTCGTCAGTAAAGTCTTGTTTTTCCAACCCTCAGCTCCGGGCTGCAGAGAAGCTGATGGAGTACCTGATCACGCTGGGGAGCAGCAGCATGTCAAAGTCCTTTCTCATTCGTCACATCCTCTCTCAGATCAGCACTCTGGCTGATCAGCTGTGGCAGGCCTTCCAGGTAAACAGCCCACTGCTTCACCACACCTCCTCCTGCAGCTCCATCCTTCTTCTTCTGCTTTTGTCTCGGAGACACCATCAATCCCTTTCTTCTGCTCTTTTCCATGATAAGCTCTTTTCTTTCTGTATTGTGTTTTTTTGCTCAGTTCCCTGACTTTATAACAGTATTACAGTATGAGCAGTTCATATAAACATCAGTTTTGCGTTAAAACCATATTGAGATCATGAATCTCTCTCACTCTCTCTAGATTGTTTGTTTCTCGCTGCCTTTTTTCCTCACAGTCTCCCTTTCTCCCTCTTATACTCTATTTTATTTAATCTTTTTGCTCTCAGTGCGCCGGCCTTTGTGCTTGGCTTTAGGTGCAAACAGTTTGCCCTATTGACTTGTTGCCACGGCCACTTCTGTACCACCATAATCGATACTGGCGTCCCACCAGTTTCCTGTCTGCTATGTATTCAAACGTCTCTTAGTAGCTCCACAGATCGCCTGAGTCACAGGCCAGGCGAGAGCCGCATTCGGCCGGCCTGCTTCCTGTGAAAGACAGAGCCACCGGGGGGTCCTTCGAAATGGAAATGTGTAAAAAAGGAAAAGGATACAGATGATTTCCCCCCCTCAACCCTCCTGCTGAGCTTCCCTCCCACTCAGCAGGGTCGGTCATGCTCACTTGCGCCTGTTTTTCTCCTCCTCCTCAAGAGAGCCTCTTGAGGCAGCCGATGCCAAAAAGAGAATTTTATCAGCACTGCATTTTTGAGGGCCAAGTTGAAGAAAAAAATAAAAATAGCTGAACCCACTGTTTGCTGGAGATATTGACAATGCAAAACAGCCTTGTGCTGCCGTGGAGCCATTGTGTCCAACAAACCAGCAGTGACAAGGGTTTGAAAGCACAAATCTGAGGCTCAATCCTCCTCAAACTATCACATAAAAGCGGAGCACCATCATCATCCTCAGAGCATTCAGAGGACCTAGGTTTGTAATGAAATGAACCAACATATAGATTCCAAAACTGGTTCATGTTGGTGCTCATGTCTACCAGCAACAGTGAACACAACAACTGGTAACATGTGAACACCTGTGTTGTGTTCACATGTTACTGTGTCATCCTTGCTGTGCGCACAGATCTCTGAACCACAAGTCTTGGAAAACCTGGAAATTTAGAGAGACTCTTTTTCCAGTCATGGAAACACCTGGAAATAGATTAAAATGATCAAATATCCGGTAAATAATCCCTGTTGTCCTGAAAAAAGGTTTACTGTGTTTTAGCCCCTCACTCACATCGCCTGCATAAACCCATAGGTGCATATTTAGTTTGAAATTCCACAGTTAGTAGCTGTGGTACGACTATTAAAAGTGGGTTAACCAGATGTGAAGCGGAACAGAAAAACATTTTAAACGCTCCCCTTTCATTTCGGCCATGTCAGTCAATCTAGCTGTTCACAGCAGACGCGGATTGGATCGGACTCTGCATCGTAATGAACCTGAGACACTTAATCATTAAAAAAAGGAGGAATAAGACGAGACTGGAATGACGCCTACTATACATCATATGACTGTTCTTGAGCAAGGGCTATCCTGTATTGTCAAGAAAAACTCCTGGAATATGTCCTGGAAAGCTGGGTCTATTGTCGATGTGTGACCAGCTGAACCGACCAGAATATCATGTTGTTGGTCAAATTGCACTCGTGCTCGCAGGTGGCTGTTCTGAAAGTTACGTTTGTGGTGCTTGGTTCCTGCAGTACTCTGTGTTCTGTTTAACTGAAGAGAACCTGGCACCTTTTCCTCTATATTTTGCCAAACATCGAAAACGAGATCCCAAGTGGATAGGTGGGAAACTCTAAAAAATAATAAATGAATAAAACCAAAATGACTATATCTATCTATCCACCCAGTTGATCCCCAAGTGTCTGACTGAGGGTTTGCCCTTGCAGCCATTAATATGCCCATGGAAATTCGTCAGAGCCCACCCCCTGCTACCCCCACCACTCTTCTTTATTCTTGCAAGGCTAAAGAAGGGACAGAGATTGCTTCTGAAGACTCTGTGTGTTTGAAGACTGAGCCTCTGGACCATCTTATTTGCTTGTAGCGCCACGCCTGCAGCTCTCTGCGGTTCATTCTCTCAGGATAAGAGGTCTCAGGGGAAGAGCTGTGTGCCTCCCATTATGCAAAAACTGTAGAAGAGACTACATCTATATTTCCATTAACATTTCACACACTTGGCTCATGCTGTTACCCAGAGTGAATGATAATGAGTGCCACTGTTGAAGATTCAATTCCTGAATCACCTTCGTCGCAAGCAAACTGTTAATTTTGTTGTAAATAGTTTGTAGTTCGAGAGGTTACATAGGACAGAGTTGTGCTAAGTAAGGTAATAATTACAAAAAAATAATTTTCTTAAAGCAGCTATAATCTATATTTTTATAACAACAGAGTATCAAATGACATAAACTATGTTAACATGGAACTTAATATTTTGGTTTTAAATAGTTTAAAAGCCTAAATAGAACAAAAATGCTCCATGGATCCAGATTTTGTTTCTACTATTTCTCTCCTCAAATCTGTTCACAAACAGTTACTGTTTATCTGGAATACCAGATCCTGTGTGACCAGGTGAGCCGCCATTGTTTCCAATCCAGGAGCAGCCAATGAGAGCAGAGCAACTCGCAGTATGTGACCTCTGCTGCCCAAACCCCAGTACCTTGTAAAAATAATCCCATATGGCACATTCATGTCAGATGGAAGGTAAAATTTCCTGGGAGGCATAAAAGGTAATTTATAGTGACATTAAACTATATGTCACTTTTCTGAGGACCATTTGGGACTCTACAAAGACCTTCTCCTGTATCACACCCCTGTACAAAACTGTGAACTTTCATACACTCCCCAGGCTAGAGTTGAAGCCATGAACAAACCCCCGCCTCGGCTCTTTGTCAGCAGACCCCTGGACTACAGTGAGTGAAAAGTATTTCCCCGCATGGAGGTGTGGGAAACTGTCATGGCAGTCACATAAAAAAGCTTCTCTGTCTCCCTTTAGTTGAGCTTCCAGTCTTTTGATTTTTGTTATTTAATGTCAGGTTCAACGTCTCTATCGAAGCAAGTGCACATTTGTTTGAAATAGCACATCATTTGGTGACAGAATTGTTTGGCATCAAGAAAATGACTCATGATTTTAAAATAAAATACCTAGTGGTTTGTCTGGCTGAGGGTGCTTTTACACTTAACCTGCTTTGGTTCAAATGAACTCTGGTGTTTGTTTGAGTTGATGTGAAAGCTGTAGATCAAACCAGGCCTAACCACCGAAATACCACCAGGCACGGATTATGCTGTTGGGTGTACAGAACATCTTCAGAGAATGTTGCCTACCTGATGTTGTTTACTTGGGTATTTTGTCCTTAAGGAAACAAACCGTTTCTTTCTCTACTACACATGTCACATTCAATCCAGAGTCTGCGCATTTTATTTTGAAAACTGACCGGATTCTCTATGCTGTTTCTGTGTCTGACTTCCTGCCAGTGTGATCTGCTCTGTGCTGCTTGCCCAGAGTGGGTCGCTGCTTCCATCAAAAATAGACCAGCTGTGTATTCTACACGGAGCAGAGCGGAGAGGTGTCTATTGCATAGAACAGGTGCGATTGTGTCCGGCGGCTGCGGTACAGTGGGAACGCGTTGTGGCTGTACCTGGTGGAATTAAGGGGTAAACCAAACACAGTATTTCCAACATGTGAAAACACATCTGACAAGTTGTTCAGAGTTCATATGTGAAAACAATTTTTACGGTTTTTCTTTTCAATGAATTGAGGCGAAGGTGTTGTTGTTGCAGCGTGTTGGTGTCCTTCTGTGCTGGTCGGCGTTCTTCTTTTTCTTATTATTATTATTTAAATACTGAGATATAGGCCTACAGAATTTCGGCATCGCGTTGGTATCGGTTCTTGTGACATCCCTAACATGAACTGGACCTGAACTAAAAGGCAATATAAACCGAACTCCAAGTGTGAACATCTGTTTAGGGCATAAGATAAGATGTTTCTATATTGATCCCCCATGGGAGAAATTCAAGTTTGGCAACCTTTCGTCAGGTTAGTTACACAACATAGACAAACTTAATTAAAAGCTTTTGTTATTTTTTCAGTTCAGTACTCAGCTCTAATTTTGTGACGTAGGTAATGTAATCTGCGTGCGTCATCACGTCTATGCATTCCCCTCTACATTGATTACAGCCAACAACAAAGAGCATTAGTCATACGAGCTGCAAACAGAAAAAAAACATGAACCCATCAGGAGTTAGACTGATGAGATGCTTCGGTTTGAAACTTTCTTTGAGTTGATTTCATAAATAAGAGCACTCACTCAACGTGTCTCTTGAGAGATTCATTCTTCTACTTTTGCTGTATTTTCCTGATTGATAATGACATGCTATGTCTGAATGAGGCTTTATTTAAAGGTTAACTGAGGTAGTGCAGCAGGTGATTTGAATGCAGCGTGCAAACTAACAAGGAAACTATTATATGAAGAGATAATTAGAGACTACTTTGATAATTAATCATTTTCATCCATTGAGTCGTTTTTGGAGAAGAATTTCTTAAATCTGCATTCTTTGAATTTGCGTCTTGTTGAATGTAAACAGCAGCAACAAGATAGTGATGATAATTGAGCTTAATCTTTACATAAAAAGAAACCGTGTCCATCCACTTTGAGCTGCGTTTGAGCACCAAGCATCATCAAAACACAAAAACACAGAATCAACCTTCGCTTGTCCTGCACTTTTTCTGTAAAGATGTGGGCACAACAGTCTATGATTTCTTGTTGTTTGGCCAGCCTTATTCCCATATGGGCGGCTGTGGTGCACAGGCAGAGTGGGTCGTCCCCTAATCGGAAGGTTGTTGGTTCGATCCCCTGCTCCTGCACAGGTATCCTTGAGCAAGATATAAAATCCCAAATTGCTCCCGATGCTGTGCATTGGTTTGTGAATGTGTATGAATGCATTAGTTTCTGTTCGATGGGCTTTGC